TTTGTTTCCATTTTCTCTGAGACTTTGTCATTGCTCACATGTTCAGTACATGGTATCCTCAGCATCTTTCTGTAGAACCACATTTTTGTTGTTACAAGTCTTTTATGACACAATCGTTTTAGAAATAAATCATGTGAAGGAAGTGTTTTAGACCTCGGTTTATAAGATTGGCCTAATTTGTAATTGTAACAATTTCTTACATAAGGAGGTGAGAGGTAGGGTAATGGTTATCAGCACCAAAATAGCATTCACAAACAGAGTTCAAATGCTAGCTGAGGCATTATATTGTTCACTTCACACTCCTGAAAAGTATGAACCTACCACAATGTACCCTATCTTATCACCAAACATCTTCACAAAAAGTTCTTGTTATTGATATGCCGTGCAAAAGTGGGGGAATGAGCATTTGTGCAAACCACTCTGCATTATTCAATTTTACTGCCAAGCAAAATCTACTGCACCTATTGCCAACCTTGACAATGGCCGAGTTAGCTAGTAGATTAAACAACAGCAATGAAAACGTGTTTCATCAAAACATTTTCTCTTTTGTGTGTTTGATGTACAGGGAAAAAATCATTAATTACAGATTAGAAAATTATTTTTTTCTCATTATTTCCTTCTTTTTTTTTTTTTTTTTTAACCTCTTTTTATACATTTATTAATTATTTCATAAGCAGAAATACACCAGTAGTACAATTTCTTTACCATTTTAAGATCATACACCAGTAGTACAATTTCTTTACCATTTTAAGATCATACACCAGTAGTACAATTTCTTTACCATTTTAAGATCATACACCAGTAGTACAATTTCTTTACCATTTTAAGATCATACACCAGTAGTACAATTTCTTTACCATTTTAAGATCATGGCATTTTTACTGTTATTCAGAAGCTACCACTATTATTATTTACATTTGTGCTATTCTTCTCATCAATTTTGCTAAAAAGGATCAGACATTAGTCTGAATGTAAATAATGATAACTCCTCATCCCAGAAATTCAGACAGAAGATATCAGGTGATAACAACAACAAAGATGAGGATATTAGTCAAAATGTAAACAATGATAAATCCACATCCCAGAAATTCAGTAAAAAGGCTATCAGGTGATAACAACAACAAAGATGAGGATATTAGTCAAAATGTAAATAATGATAATTCCTCATCCCAGAAATTCAGAGAGAAGGCAATCAGATGATAATAACAACAAAGATGAGGATATTAGTCTGAATGTAAATAACAATAACTCCTCATCCCAGAAATTCGGACAGAAACTACAAATTTTCTAAATTATTTAGCCTACAGTCAAATCATACTGAAAACACCAGTCCTTATTCAATCACCAAAGTTAAGAGGTGTCATGCCTGGTTATTACTTCGATGGGGGACTGCTTGGGAATACCAGGGACTGTCAGAAACCTGCTACAATCCGAAATATGTTTCTGCTTTAAATAATGCACAAAGAGTGTATAAAACAAATCAATCAAATCCTAAATTATTTAAAAGAATTCATTCTGGTACTTCCTTTATCTAGCAAAAAGAATAATACTTAGTATTCAAGCAACAAAATACTTTATATTTATTTAGACTTTAAAAAAAAAAATCAACGTTAATATCCTCCTCCCCTGCAAGTATGTTTCATAAATGAATTCTTGTAATAAATTCTATGGAATTGTTTATTTATTAATGAAAACACATGCACTTTTTTTAAGATTGAGAAACAGAATGGATTGAAATAAAAACAAAATATTTAATATGCATTGAAGTCAGCATTTCCACAAGTAAATAACTATGATGCAAAATTATAAAATATTTAAAATAATAATCATAATAATCAATTTATAGCATCAAGTGGAATTTCACTGTTTGTTTCTTAAAGTAATTCTTTTGTTTTATGCCAATAAAGGATTTAAACATAATGAAATGAAGGTTTTCATAATTTTTATATTTAAAGGAAAGAGAACCAATAAACAATAAAAGTATAACAACAACAAAGATGAGGAGAGTAGTCTAAATGTAAATAATAAAATATGACAAAATTATTTACATTTTAGTGTGCATTTACTAAGTACATTTTCAATGTATTTAAGTATACATCTAAGTGCTTCCATATCAACACAAGAATTAAATTCCCCCTCCCCCCGTGTGTGTGTGTTTGTTTGTGTGTGTGTGTATATCTGCATGCACATGGACTTCAAAATATTTTCTTCCTCTTTGCATTTTAAAAGCTTTTGTATATTCTTCCATACTCTCCATGTGTTTTATTCTTGTTTAAAATAAGAAAAAAAAATATATCCTTGTTTTGTACTTTTGTTTTCTTTTTTATTTTATTCAGTGGGTTTTAGAAATGTTGCACATTATACGTCAGCCAAAAAAAAAAAAAAAAAAAAAATAACATGGCTTGGCCATAACTTTCACTTACCTTCCTAGCAGTGTTTGCCGTCTGATCCTACTCTGTTAGAAATTTCATTTCTGTACATGTTTTCCATTGGCTGACACTGTTTGTCGCAGAGTAAGACCGCTCACCAGCCGATCGACAATACAGAACACTGATTCCAAATGTGGTTAGACAGAAGAAGAAAAAAATCAATAGAAAGTAAAAGTGAGGAAAGAAAAAAGTTATTAAACAAAGATAAAATTAAAGAAAATAGAAAATAAATAAAATTAAGACTAATAATAATAATAATAACATCTATCCATTATGATAGAATTGGTTCAAGGTGGCTCGGATATAAATATGTCATCCCACGTGAATAGAAGATGGATCCTTGTTTCCTTTTCATGAATAAAACTAATTTTGTTTTATAAAGTCATTTTTTATTGATTATTTCTGTTTCTACATGTTTATACCACACACACACACACATACAGGTGTAAGTCAATAACTGCTACTAAGAAAACTAAACAAATAGTCTTGGCAAGAAATAACAGATGGTCTTAGACAAAGTGTTGGATAAAAAAAATATTTTGTCAGTAGAAGTAAAAATGTGCCAGACATTTGCTTGGTACTTTTTTTTTTTTTTTTTTACAATTGTGCCAAGCAAGAGACTTTCTATTTGAACAGCTGTTTTGTTACCAATTTAAATATTCCCTCATCATTAAAATCTACTCCGCTCATGTTACACGTTTGCGTCATGCATGTGTCTATTGTTTAACTTTACTTTTTTTATCCAATGGCAAATGCCCCAAGGGAGCCTTCTTCTTTTCTTTTTTATCCACCAGGATATAAGTGATTATAGCTCTTCACAGCTTCCTGCTTTCTGTTATACCCTTTACCATCCCTGTTCTACCATCTGTTCATTCACTCAATACTAGGTTTTTCTTGTTTTCCTCAGCTTCTCTTGATTTAATGCCATGTGAGTGTTAAATTCTCCAGCCACTCTTTCCTTATTATATATCCTAGAAATCTCATCTGTAACTTTCTGATAACTTACATAGACTTTTCAGCTAACCTGATGAATATTCATGAGTGTTACTTAAATTTAAAAATTTTTAAAAAGTAACATTTTTGCTCTTGTCTATAAATGCTTATTAAAAATAAAATCCTTGCATTTGCTTTGATAAAGTCCCTCAGAGGATGAAATGTGCCAGCTAAGATAAGTTTTCCTTTTGTCGTTATTTATCTCTCTGATTGCAAGTATATGTCCTTGCTTTTCCTATTTTCCTTAAGTCTTCCTCGTTGCTCACATGTTCTGGCCATGATATCCCTAGCATTCTTTGGTAGAACCACATCACTGTCACTTCAAGTCGCTGTGAGGAAATTGTCCAGCATTCACAAATTAGATATTGCATAGCAGGTCCTGATTGAAATTTTCATCTGCAAAATTAAAATCTCTTGTTTTATCTGCATGTTTAACAGGTACTTAGTTCTTTGTAAGCTAAGTAAACATCAGTTAAGTTTTGTAAGTTTGAAACATTTAACTTTTTCTAGTTATTGGTATTAATATCTTTTTGTTGACTTTTTAAAAAGAATTATAGTGATATACTAATTTAAATATTAGAATGTAGATGACAAATAGTCTCCTCTCTGCCCTAAGATTGAACAACAGTCTCAGTATGTTAGTCTGTGTATGAACACTTACTTGATTATAGACTAAAATGCTGTGTTTTACGACAGAAATACTGTGAAAAGGCCTCTTGAATATTCATTATAACAGAAATTATATCTTGCTTTTAATGTTGGTGTGTTCATTATTTTTGTATTATAATTATTTGCATATCGATTAGCACATCTACCTCAGTTTGGTTTGGTTTACAGCATATCAACCTCAATGGGTTATTTAATGCTGACAAAATTGTTATTGTTGGTAATGTTTTTCTTCAGAAATGTATTTCTAGGAATATTTTTACTTGAAGAAATCTATAGCTGGTCATATTTTTTCCAAAGAATGTATAGCTGTTTGTATTGCTAGTATTTTTTAAAGTATTGTTGATAATAATTTTTCCTTCAAAAATTATGGCTGGTAAAAAAAATTTTTATTACAAAGTATTTCTGGTATTAAAACCTATTTTTACACAAGTTTGGGTATTAACTATTTGCCCATAGCTGGGACCCTAATAGGTGCTACCACTCTGGGTCAGGGTGGACCTGGAAACACCAGCAATTAAGAGGTGGTTACACGCTCCTCAAAACCTTCTGATTAGAGGCCTTGCTGTTGGACGTAGTTTATCATCTTACCCAGAACATAGATGTAGTTTATCGTCATACCCAGGACAGTACTTCTACCTCAGATTAGATTACCTGTGCACTTTGCCTAAGATTAAAGTATCACTCTCTATTTCTCTGCCTTGTGTCAGACTGTAGTATCTGCTAAAGATTAAATTATCACTCACTGGCCCTTTGCCTAGGATCAGAGCACATAGTTCTTCACCTTTGAAATAGGATCCAAGTGTATTATCTGTTCTTCACCTCTCTGCTCTGTTTCATTCTTTGGGCCATTCACAGAAAAGTTTTGAGGGTTGCCTGATCCCAGGAGCTCCAACCCTGCAGCAGAACCTCCCTCATTGCACCAAAGAGGAAATATTGGTGGATACTGATACCAGCATGACAGTGCTCACAGGGAATAGACATTTTTTTTCCTTGTCCTGTGGGCATCCCACATTAAACTGACCTTGTGTCATATCCTACCACTGTGATGAGTAAATACTGTATCAGAGTGGAGTGTAGTATCTTTGCACCATAAAGTGTTTTATGCACACACACACACACACACACACACACACACACATATATATATATATATATATATATATATATATATAGGGAGGCATGATGGAATAATGGGTAGCAGCATGAATATCCATCTCTTCTTGATCCAGCTATGGGTAAATAGCAGGGCAGACTGGGTCCTATTGCCTTGGATGGCAAACAATCTAGGAGAAGGATAAATCTAAATTCAAAAATCTGCAGAGGGTCATTTGGAGACCTTGTGGCATACAGCATACCAGTTCTCTGTATTCAGCTCTTCCAAAAAATGTAGTTGGCTCTACACAAGCCTTCACCACTATAATCAAATGATAGGTATTGGTAGTCTGGTTGCTAGTTCTAAGAACTGAGCTGCTTGATACTCACACATTGAAAACAACAGGAGAGTCTTTTATATATATATATATATATATATATATATATATATATATATATATATATATATATAGTGTGATAAAGATAACAATGTATATTTTTATATATCAAGAACAGTATTGAGGAAATTGTTAGACAAAATGGAAAAGTTTTATATATATATATATATATATATATATATATATATATATATATATATAGAGAGAGATGCTGGATTTTATATATCTGGATGATAGGAAATTATATTTTTCCTTAACTTGTTTGCCAATTCTTCAGACTAGCATTGAGCTTTTCAAGTAGATTCCATTTGAGCCATGCAAATAAAATTTTATTGATATTCATTTTCTTGGTTTATCTTCTTATTCAGGCACAAAGCCAAATCTGGATGCAGAAATAGGAACGTCATGTTGCATCCATCCTTTCAAATAAGGAGAGCCTTGTCTTTAGAATCAGTGTTGGAATTCCTAAACTTAAGCTACAATCTTTAGCATTGGTGAAGAATACACAACTCTCTCTGCCACAAGACATGTTCCTATTATAGAATTTTATTTAACACATTAAAGACTTCATAGATCCAGTCATGTCACAAACACCCAGTCTATTCTCTACAGTTCCAGTTTTGCAAAATATTGAGGCATGTGAGAAAATACGCAGCTTTTTTTTTTTTTCTTTTTAAGTTATCTGTATGGGTACTTTAGCCTTATACCAAACTAGGCGACACTTAGTAAATAATCTTAAGTTGACTTTAAGTTTTCTTTTAAGGATTTACTGATATTTTCTTGGTCCAGTCAAATAAATTCTGATGTTTAGTTATTTGACCAGAATTTATAAATTAGGTCAGGCTGAGAACTTTTCAGCACACCCTTGTATCTTCTTAGATTCAAACTCTTTGTCGGCTTCTTCCATCAGGCATATTCCCCAGACAACACCATCAATTACTGCTGCTGCTTCTGGTTTAATTGCCTTCATGGATCTTGTTAGCAAGGTGGAAGATTTTGATGCGTGATAACAATTTTTTTCTTTCGTTTTTATAAAATTAAAACTAAATTTTCCCAGCTTTAAACAATTTAAGCTTTTTTCTTTTTTATTGTTGGTAGAAACAAAACAAAGGAATTTGGCAATCATCCAAACAATATTTAGAACATTAAAGTCTGTTAAATTTACAGATAATATTAAAATACTTTTTTTATAAAAGAAAATGATTCTGATTTATTCTTTAAGTGTTGCGTAGAAAGACATAACTTAAAAAAAAAAAATCAGCTTTTATTTTATATATAAATAAAAAGTGTATCATTTTATTTAGCAACAAAAAATAGTATTGAACTGTTATATGATATCTGTTCTCCTGTATGGCAGCAAATGTTGGACAATCTATTCAAAGATGAAGAAGAGACGTGTTGCATTCTTTGTCATCTCTGGCTACCCATGCTACTACAAAAAACAGTATCAATGAAAAGGATCATTTGTTTTTGTTATTTATTTTATTATGAGAGAGAGAGGTGGCAGGAGTAAGGGGAATGACGTCACAGGAATGCATGTTGCATATTGGCTCGGCATCCCTCCAAAGGTGGTCTTAGCCAGTCGCTAACCTGAGTGTGAGAGGTATCTCAACACTTCATAATTCTTGTGACCCTCTGTTGAATTTGTACTGTTTTTGACTTATAACCAAAATGTAAAGGCACTCTATCACTGTCAGAATACCAAGTCAATGAGGTACTCTGAACAATTGCTGACCATTCTGGCCCTGGCCTTCACATTCTGGGACACTTGAAGCAACAGAAATCTGATTCTACAGAAAGATGCTGAAGATACGGTGGACTGAACATGTGAGTAATGACAAGATTTTGGAGAAAATGGAAGCAAAAAGGAAACTTATACTTAAAATTGGGAACAGGCAATTGAAATTTCTAGGGCACATAATAAGGAAGCAAGGCTTGGAAAATCTGATACTCAAAGGACAGACTGAGGGACAGAAGAAAGCAGCATGTAACATCCTTGATAAGCTTGAGTAAAGGGATCGTAGAAAAGGGTATGGGGAGAAATAACAAAAGGACAAAACTTATTAAGAACTACAAAGGACAAGAAGATGTGGAGAACCATGATCGTCCATGTCCTGAAGGGACACTGCACATAAAAGAAGTAGAAAGACGGTGAACCTCCTCTATATTTATTCTTGAACATAGACTCATCCTTTCACTATGAGTAGGACATCTGCTTATAGGCACAGGGATCACAAAATAGGTTGCAATATATAGTGTTGAATCATATGCATCGCCGCACTGAACTACGGTATTCACTATTATTGTATTATTAATCGATGCGATTAAACCTTTTCTTTACTGTTCTTTTGTTCAAGTGTTTCCTTACAATATTATTAACCAGAAACTATGAGCTTTATACAAACTTTATAACATTTAGTATTTTAAAAAAATGATTGTCCAAAATTCTAGTTAACTATAAAAATTAGTGCTAATCAATTTTTGTCATTTCTAACAAAAGATCAACTATATAAATAATTCCTTTTTGAAGGGTCGCAATGAGTAATATAAACTCTAACCAACTTCTATGTCCACAGTAAGGTTTGGTTCAAAATAAATGTCAAAATGTTATTATTTTGTTATATATTGATTCTTCTGAACTATTTTTATCATTCTTTTATGTGTTTTTTTGGCTGCTATTTCTTTACTGTTCTACAGAAGACCTAAAGTTGTTAGCAAAACATTAAAGAGCATTTTTTTCAGTGTCGTAACTTATATAAGAGACCTACTTAACAGTCCAATAAAAGTTTAACTTATCCTGGAAAATTCCTTATGAATAACAACATGTTTATATTAAGTACAGTACATGTTCACTTTTTTTTTTTTTTTTTTTTTCAATCGTTTCACCCCAAGCAAGGTGGGAAGCCACTAGCATGCAAGGGGCTACAGAGAGTTGGAGCTAGAGCAAATAAGAGTGATTTAGGAAAGGATGAAGAGGAGGATAGGAGATAGATCAGGGCATCTGGAGACGTCGATTGACATTTGAATAGTTGGAGATCATAGCTATCAGGGAAACAGAAAGAGGCAAGGGAGTTCTACAGGCGAGAGGTGCAAGACATGAAGCTATTGGAGTAGAAGAGATGACTACATTTAACTGTTTTGACAGTGAAAGGGTGAGAGCGAGATGCCAGCCTAGTAGAATGCTTAAATTCATGAAGTTTAGGAACCAGCGAAAGCAGCTCCTCAGAGCAGTTAGCGTGAAAGTATTTGTAAAAAAAGACAGAGGGTGGCTACAGCACATCTGTGAGAGAGCGACTGCAGACGAGACGCCAGATCAGGGCCAATTATATTGCATATCCATCTCTGGATCTTATCAAGAACCTTAAGACAAACATAAGGGGCACCAGACCATATATGGCAGCAATACTCCATGCAAGGGTGAATGGTTGATTTGTAGATTTGAAGGATCGACTCCGGCAAGAAAAATTCACAAATTAGAACACTAACCATGGGTATATAGTACCCAGCGCAAATTTTCCTATTTTTAATTACAATTTTCAGTACTTGATTTTCTTACCTAAATAATGTTTTTCAGTTCCTAATAATGTTAACTCAAAGTACAAAGTTTGAAGTACCTGCATGTAAAATATTTCAAATAAAGATTTATATTTAATATTTTTTTTGATATTTTCAAAATCAGGTACGATATACCCATGGTTAGTAGTGGTGTAACTTTAATTGATGGTTAGTGTTCAAGGGTTAAGAAACGTTGGAGAATTTGCTTAATTTTTTTTTAAAGAAATCTCCAAAAGAAAATTGTCAGAATGATAGTGCAATAGTAGAACGCTAAAGTTCTAAAAGTTCAAATTCTGAACTCTCTTCACTGTTGTCAGCTTTAAAACTCTAGTAATTGTTAGAATTAGAAAATATTTAGAAAAAAGACAATTATTTGTCAGCTTAATAGGCAATGTGGCTTGTTCCTAGCAAAACCCTAAGAACACCATTTTCTTGATCATTTCTCTCTGTCCTCCTTTGTATGACCATAAAGAATGTCTGGTCAATTAGGTGCATACATGACTGGTGATTTTTTATATTTTTAGCTCTGGAAAAAGGTCAGTGGTCTTTTTGACCTTTATCATTTTGATAAGCTAGAAACAAAAGAACAACCATTTTTATTTATGTTCTACATTTAATTGCTTCTCACTTACACACACACACACACACACATATATATATATATATATATATATATATATATATATATATATAGTGTTTTCAGTATTAAACGCATTCCTTCTGACATTAAAATGCATTTTATTTAACAGCCATTATTTTCTTCTTTGACCACAAAAATTAAGAAAAAAAAAAAATTATTTCTCGTGCTTTTACAGGATTTTTCTTGTTTGCTGATATTTCTTTATTCATCAAATTTTTATATTTTTTTTTAGTCAGTATCACCCCATGCAAAGCAGTAAAGCCACTAAAAAAGAAGGGGTTACAGGGTGTGGAAGAAATAGAAACAGAATCATTAATAATGAGTGGGAAGAGGAAAGTGTAATCAGGACAGTAGATAGCAATTGACATTGAATTTAAATTTTTGCAGATGAAAGTTGGCTGGAAAGCATGAAGCCAGAAGAGAGTTCCACAAGCGAGAAGTGCGAGAAAAGATAGCATAGAATTTACAGTTACATCCAGCCAGATCAACTGTAAATTTATAAGAGTACTGCACTTAAATTCAAAAGTCTAGGTAACATAATGAAGAGCTCATCTGAACAATTACCATGAAAGTATTTATAGAAAAAACACATGACCCCTTGTAATTGGTAAACAACACAATTTTTTGGCTTTCTCTAACTGTACTGTCTCATATTATTTCATCATTTTACTAGGTTCATCTTGCCTGGGATAATTTTTTTCATTTATATTTTTCCATTGTAAAATTTATAATGCAATAATGAATTATCCACTTGTAGAACTAAATAAAATTATTAGTTTTCAAAGAAATAAATTCTATATTGACTTTTTCTATTTGAATTTTTTGTATAAGTAGTTATTTACATTAATGTTGGCTGGCCACTCGTATCCAAGTAATGCTGTCTACTAGGGCAGCTAACCAATCCCCATTGCAGACACCTGCTCAGGCACATTTGTGTTTGTTCAGCACCCACAGAGTTCGCTTTGGTTTATACTGTAACTATATAGAGCAGAATTTACTTACAGTTTCTGGGAATGAATGCATTATCTGATGTGATTGACAATCTGAACAAGGTCAATGGGTTCAAACTCTTGGTCACAATGAGTTCTGAATTTGTGCTAGCAATGACTCCCAAATTTTTAGAAACTTTCCAAAGGTGCCACACATTGGGGAGAAGAGGCAGTAATCCTTTTGAATAATGCAAAGTGTTAATAGTTAAGAAGCTATGTCTGTGATTCACTATTCATTTTACGTTTTCTCTCTTATTCAATAATGAACCGAACATTATGGTTCTTATACCACTATCCAAATACAGAGAAATATTTTAACTTCACAAGTGTTGTTTAATTCATATACAACAAGTTTCCCATTCTTTAAAAATTATACACCAGTTCTATTGGCCTTTTTTTAAATTTGTCTTTTATAAATTTCCACTTCATAGAAACTTTCTGCCAAAGATCACCTTCACTGCATACATTACCAAATATCCCCCTTTTGTCTCATTTCAGAAACACCAATCAAAATATGTGCCATGCTGTTATATACTTTATATCTGTTTATGGCTTTGTCAAGATTCCATGGGTAAGTTGTTTGCTTTTTGTTCTGTTTTGTTTTTTTTTTAAGCCGTGAAATATTTTCAATTATAATATACAAGATCTGATCGAAAAGTATCCAGACAGTTGCTTTGGTAACTGAGCTAAAGTATGCAGAGTGAAGCTGCTTAGCACGTAGTGACCTTGAAGATTGTTGCACATACACACTAAGCTATAACACTGTCACTCATTCATTGTTTATAGCAGTGCTTGGAAGGAAAGTGTGTAGAGTGTGGTCACCACACCACAAAGGATGGGTTGTGCAACAGTTTTTGGCCAAGCAAAACATTCCCCAGGTTCAAACAAATTTCTCTTACCATCTTCATTTCTGATGAAAAACATTTATTTAAATTTATTTTTCTTAAAAACAAAATTAATATCTGAAATTGTGAAACAGATTGATGACAATATTCTATAAAGCAAGTTTTAAATATCTGAAATGGAAAATGGTTCTCTTTGAAAGAGCAATCACTTTATAAACAGATCTTCCATAAAAATGTTTATAAGTTTTAATGATATACTTCTTTTTTTTTCTTTTTTGTAAATAATTATCCAGATTCTTGGGTAATAAACAAATAAAATATAGCTTTGATCTATCATTAAAATTTTCTTTCTTCCTACAATTTCAAGTTTATCAGTACAAATACTTGGAAAAATAAACATGAAATTTTCCAAAAACTAACACCTTTCATACATGACTTGAATCCAAGTTAACAGCAGACTACTACCATATTCAGTTGAGTTCAGTTGATTAATGAGCTGCTTAGAACCACCAGTGATCCTTATTTTCAATTGTTTTACAGCAGCACATTAGTCTTAGGTTTGTAGATTTTTTGTTTTTTTTATGTTCATCACTTGTAACAAATAATCATCTACCATTTTTTCATGATTTTATTTGAGAATTAACATTGCCAAAATGTTAATTCTCAAATTTAACACTAAATAAGTTTTTTGATAAACTTGTACAGTATTCTGAAAGCGAATTTATAGCAAAATTTAGTTGAATAACAATGGCAGAAATGGTGTTGTTTCTGTTTAGTGAGCGAGTCAAGCTGAATCTTCACCATGGGCTTCATAACTGAAACCTTCCCTCAAGCTAAGCTAAGTAAGCAATGACTTTTCTAGCAATTACAAAGTGGCAGACGGGGGAGGGCAAGGTTAATGTATGCAGATGGAAAAGGAAGCACAACTCACTGTAAGGAGAATATTTTTTTCAAAAAAATTATTCTTTAAAATATTTTTATAATAATTTATTAAATAGAATAAAACACTATTACAGCAAACAGTTTCCCAAAGAATAGTAGTGGTAGTAGTAGCAATGACAAAATAGTTTACAAATAATCTTCACAAATGTGATGCAGTTTAAATGTGGCTGAAAGAAAATGTATATTTTCTAAATGAAAATATCTCTCTATTCTTTTTTTCTAAGGTTAATTGTCATAAATCCTATAGAATCTGTTTTTTACTAGGTCTAGCAATTGAAATTCAGATTCCAAAAGAATAGTAGTAGTAGTAGTAATGACAATGTCTTAAATAATCCACAGATTTAATACAGTTTAAATGTGTGCTAAAGAAAATGTACATTTTCTAAATTGAATGAAAGTCATTTTTTTCTTTTAAATGCTAATTGTCATACCAGGTATTTCACATGGAAAAAGTTATGTCCACCATCAAACAGAGCAAACATACTATATGAAAATTAACTATGGCTTTGATACTTTGTAGGCAGATTTTGTAATTCTAATACTGTCAAAATAGATATCAGCTGTACTTATTCCTTTTAGTATATATAATGGGAGAGTTAAGCCCTCACCCCTCCATCTTATATGTACAGAAGTCCTAAAATGTTTGTTTTACTTTGTTGTTTTTTTATAATTATGTTCACCCTATACAAGTCATGGGAGCCACTCAAGGCAGTGTGTTACAGAGTAACAGTCACAGGTTAGGTGGAGATGTAGGGAAAGTAGTGGTTAATCCTTGACTTGAACAGGTTAAGATTGTAGTGATTAGGAAAATACCCTCTTGGGAGTTGGTTCCACAGAGTAGCAGTTTGTGAGATTAAGCTTCTCACGTGGAATTTACATCTCACAAAGGGAATACAAAGAGAATGAGGGTGGTTCACTCCAATGTGCGTAGCATGATGGGTTTTGGCCATGAAGGTTAGAACTGGTAAGGAATGTAGTTCATCTGAGCACTTTCCATGGAAATAGCAACAGAGAAGCAAGAAGTTTTGTCTTTGAGAAAGTAATCAATAAGAATGAGGATTTATGAATGAATGCCTGTCCTTATAAAAAATACATAAGTATAATTCTTTTTTCTTCCCATAGCATTCAGTAAGATTTGTTATACAGTGTAACCCGGATATAAGAGAGTTGTCGGGACCGGAAAATAAGTCTCTTATATCCGGGTTTCTCTTATATCCGGGTTTGGTCTATTTTGTTTAGGTAAGTATGGGCTCTAATTTGGGACCAGATAAAATCTCTCTTATATCCGGGTTACACTGTAGTTGCATAGAAATTTAATATGAATTTAACTCTTTTTAACCCCTTGGAACTTTGATATTTTTATGTGACACCATTTTAGCAAAATACCTCATCAGCTCTTTCATGACAATTATTACTTTTCTCCACATTCATCTTTGAATTATCTTCTGTCACTGCTGCACTGCCAGTAAAGAATAGCAAAGACAAAAGAAAAGTAACTTCTTGTCTCTTATCAGCTTTATTTCCTTGCTTTTAGTGAAATGATTAAAAAAAGTAAAATATTTTCATGAAATATATCATCAACCTCTTCAAGGCAAATAAATATGTTTACAAGATATTTTGTCAGCCTCTGTGAAGTGTTTAAATATTATAAAAACATTGCTGAATAAATTCAGTCTCATGTCCCTTCAACTTCAGATAAATGTATAAGTAACAAGTTCAATCCCTGATTCATGCAGTGCAAAAATAAATTAGCTCAATGGAGAGGTCAGAGAAACAAGGCAAACATGATGTTTAAAATGTCTAAGGACATCAGATATGAAAGAAACATCTCCCTGAAAGAAATAGATTTCTGCTGAATAGCCACAGAAAGTTTCCATACATTACAAACACTTGAGGGAAGGTTTGAAGATGGTGGCCAAAATGTTGTGTTAAAATCAATCAAGTTTCTTTGCAAGAATTATTGTGAAGTTAAAACAATTTTAAGATAGTATTTTTCCCTTAAAAATGTTAAAGTCAATTTCATCTTAAATTTTATTTTGAATATTTTTCAACGACTTTAACTTTAAACTGATTATTTCTTTGATTATTTTACTGTAAAACTTTTCCCCAATTTACATCAAATATTCAGTTTAATTCTGTTTTACTTGTTTTTTAAATTATTTTCTAACACACTCTGTCTTCTTTTTATTCAGTGTCCGATCCAAGTTTTATCAGCTCCCTCTGTTGTCGATTCCTGAAAGCCTTTACCTTATGGGTCTTGTGCCTGTAGAATTTTTCAACAGTCTCTTGAGTCCAATGTTAGGATTGGATGTCAGGTTACCATTCTTATCCCTCATGTTAACTTCTGTCTATTGCAGCCTGGGACTTATCTATTCATGGTTCAAGTTTTATTATCACATTCTACTGGACAATAGTGCTGTCAAAAAAGACAAACAAAAAAAACATTAAATTATTTCTGAATATATTTTAAAACCTGTTGACTTATTTTGTGATTTATTTGTATTTATTTATGTTGTGTGTGTGTGACTTGAAAGTGATTTTTTTTGTCTTTAGTTTTTATTATAAAAGCAGATGTGTGAATATCATTGATTTTTCTGCATATTCCAGAAACCATACAAAAGAACAGTCTGGTTTCTATATATTTATTTGTACAAAAAGAAAATTATAATGGTTTGCATTGAATTTAACTGATACAAAATATAAACTACTGAATACATCATAATCAGCTCCATGACCAGGTGTATTCATAGGGCTGCTGCGCAATTGAACATCTGACTACCTCCCTCCATATGTCTCAGTTATGTGCCAATATCTGTGTTCAAAGTAAAAGAGCTATTCATTTATGCATAGTATGTCTTTGGTAAGTAAATTTGGCACATCGCATTCCTCTCCAGGTCAGATCACAGCCAATGATCTCAGTTTTGACATCAACGTCCAAGGGGGAGTTGAATTAGTTTTCTTATTTATTCACATTTGCACTAATATCCTCATCTTTGTTATTACCGCAATGTTTTGGCAACTATACTCTTTGGCCTTCTTCAGGTGTCTACCAATCCAGGGAACTTAAAAGCAATGGGGGTAGATTGTCCATGTCTAAGTATATCTTGTTTTTTTTTTGTTATTTTTTACTTTTTACCCCTGCTCAGCTATTTCTTACCATTTTTCCATTGAATATGTGTTTGTACTACCAACCACAGGAATTGATCTCACAATTATCATTCCAACAAATTTATGAACTAATGCTTTAATCTATACCAAGGGTCACCAAACTATGGCCCCCAATGCCTGTTCATCCTGCCCGCCACTTCCCTATGCCTCAAATGAGCTAAAATATAATTATTCATATGGAGTTATCAATAGATTGTAGTTAAACTTGCTATGTAGAAAAGATTAAAATAAATGTAAGTAAAATACCAAAATTGGTCAATCTAATTTTTGCTTCTGACTGTAATATAAGTTTTAGAAAAAACAGTGAAATAAAAAATTTGGTGACTTTTTGCAACTTTTGATATCCAAGCATTTTTGTGTAAGTGTCTACAATGAAGTTTCTAAGAAAAGCAATTACAAGCCTGCTGCAACAATTATGTTTTAACTTGCATTTCTGTGTTTAAACCAGTTTGAAGAGTGCAGTATATAAAAAGGAATGACTTCAGCAATTTATGTCATATATTTTGCTTGAACTTATTGTAAAATCTAAAGTATGTAAAGTCAGCACATGTAACGAGGTTGACTGATGAACATTAAAAAGCATTTCTCTTAGTTGGATGCAGCAATACCAAAACAAATACTAATTATATCTTAAAAGGTAAACGCCAGTTTCACTAATGTCACTAACCTTTTGTGCTGCTTAGTTTGTGAGATTCGGATATGTACACACTTGGTATGATATAACTATTTTATTGCTATTGTCACCTTCTCGGATAACTTTTTAGTAAATATGTTTGTTGTCTTTATTTTTTGTGCATTCAGTGCATTGTATTGAACAAAATGGTTATTCAGCCTGCACTCAGCATTCTTTCAGTTATCTCTGTGATAAAAGTTTGGTGACCCCTGTCCTAGGCTATTGTCCTATGACACCTGAAGATGGTCAGAGAATGCAATGGACGAAATCTTGGTATAATAACTAAAAAATGAATATGTTAGTCCAAATGTAAATAATGTAAATATAATTCCTCATCTCAAAAATTCAGATAATTTCTTTTTGAGTTCTGCTAAAAAATATTTTACTTGATACATAATAATTTCAAAAGTACTATGAAACAAAGATCTTTCTGTCATAAGTACTAATTCCATTTTGAGAGCTGAATTTTCTGCTCTTGCCTGATAAAGATAAATGATAACAAACTCAGAGAATAAAAATAATAATCTCAAAGAATACATAAAAACAATGGAGAACTTTTGTTCTCGGATCATTCCGTAAATCATGTTCACAATATGAAAGTGTTGGATTGAATGATATTTTTGCTGTTCTAAAATGCCTAAATGATAACATGCTAATACAATTTTAAACAAATTCCATCACCACACTAAAATTCATTTACCTTAATTCTTCTTCTTTTATGTGTTGTGTCACTTCAGGACATAGGCTATCATGGCCCACCACATCTTCCAGTCATTTGTAGCTCTTAATAAGTTTTGTCTTTTTGTTATTTCTCCCAAACTCTGTTCTGCCATCTAATTTGCTCAAGCCATTAAGTAAGTCACGCATTACTTTCTCCTGTCCCTCTTTCCCTCTATCAGTCTTGCGAGTATCAGATTTTCCAAGCCCTCCTTCCTCATTATGTGTCCCAGAAATTTCAACTGCTTACTGAGTTTTAAAAACTTTGTTGAGAAAAAATTAGAGAAACAATCTAAAATATTCCCACTGTTTATGGAATAGATTCTTTCAGTCAAAGAAATTGCCAAAGACAATTTGAAAGGTTTAGAAAAGATAAATTCATTTTAACACAATTTCCAGATTTGAGTTTAACAATGGCCTTCTGTTGTCTTGTTAAAAGTAGTTATCAAAAACTGAATTCAAACCATTTAAAAGTTTACCATCATTTGCAACAACAAGGAATGATGCCAAAAATTAGAAAATGGGTTCTTTGTGATTTGGATACACACCAGCCATAAAACAATATATTTGCTTTCAGACAGATTACTGACTTTCTGGGATAAGGTGTTATTATTTACATTCAGACTAATATTCTCATCTTTGTTGTAGACTGGTGGATTAAAGCATTGGTTCATAAATTTGGTGGTCCAGTAATTGTGAATTCAATCCATGGAACAAGTAGTACAGACAGAAGTAGGACTAGCAATAACTGAGCAGTATTAAATAAAAAAATAATAAAACGAGATGTCCCTGTACATGGGCAGCAGAACAAATGAGAACAATCTACCACATCATCAACATGAGCTACCCAGATTAAAAAAACCTGAAGAAGGCCAGTGGGCATAACAGCCGAAACATTGTGCTAATGCCAAAAAAAAATGGGGAAATTAGTTCAAATGTAAATAAAGTTTACTTCCTGGTAAGGAAAAATTAAGACTTTGCTGATGATACCATAGATGAGCAATGACAAAAAAACTTCTATTGACAACAAACCACTTGCATAAAAATAAAAAATGAGTTCAGCAGATATACAAAAATAGAAAGGGATGTAAGGCAAGGATGTGTCTTCTCGCCAGACTTATTCAACCTATACAGTGAGATGTTTCTAAGCGAACTAGAAATCCTACCTGGATCCATCATTGGTGGCCACAATCTTAATGATATAGGATATGTAGATGACACAGTGCTGATAGCAGACATGGAAAGAAAATTACAAAACCTCCTACAGAAGATAGTGAAGAAGAGCGAGAAAAAGGGACTAAGCATAAACTACAATAAGACAGAATGTATGGTCATCAGTAAAAAGATGAGCCTGAAATATGATTTACATGCCGGGGACACTAAAATCAAGCAGGTACAGAAATTTAAATATCTGGGAAATATTCTGACAGAGGATGATAAGTGTGACACAGAGATCTGAAGATATATTGGGACAGCCAAAGACACATTCCAAAAGCTAGACAGAGTATTATGAGACAAGAAATTTTCGTTGGTAACAAAGAAAAGAGTACTGAACTGCTATGTGATATCTGTCCTCCTTTACGGCAGAAAATGCTGGACAATCTCCTCAAGGATGAAGAAGAGACTCAAGGCTGCTGATATGCGGTTTCTAGAGAAGGATGCTGAGGATATCATGGACCAAACATGTGAGCAACTCATACTTAACATCAGGAAGAGGAAGTGGAAATTTTTGGGAAACGTAATGAGAAAGGAGGACTTGGCAAATTTGATACTCACAGGGCAGGTAGAGAAAGAAAGAGACAAAGGAAAGCAACATGTGGCATACTTAACAGGGTTGAGCAATTGGATGGCAGAACAGGGTCTGCAAGAAATAACAAAAAGTTAAAGTTTATTAAGTGCTACAAGGGACAAGAGGAAATGGAGAGCCATAATTGCCTAAATCCTGAAGGGACATGCCACATAAAAGAAGAAAATACTTAACATCAGGAATAGACAGTTGAAATTTCTAAGTCACATAATAAGAAAAGAGGGCTTGGAAAATTTGATACTCACAGGATAGATTTAATGAACAAGGGACAAAGGAAAACAATGCATAACATATTTAGTGAGTTTGTATAATGGATGGCAAGGTTTAGGAGAAATAACAAAAAGACAAAATTTATTAATCATTACAGTCTTAACTTGTTTAAGTCTAGGGTTAATCGTTATCTTCCACACACATCCACGTATGCTGTGCCGCTTACTCTTTATCCTTCTACCTTGAGGGGCTTTTGGGTATTGTACAGGATGAATATCTTTTTTTTTTAACAATAATGTTCATTCTGTATAAGGCCCAAGAGCCACTCAAGGTAAATTGTTACAAAGTAAGAGACACAGTTTCTGGGGATATGTGGGGAAGATAATAGTTAACCCTAGACTTGCATAAGGCCAAAAAACATAAAAACAAGAATGATAAGTTGAAGTCTTTTCTTCTCTTTCGAACACCCACCCACCATCACTTAATTTATCCAACTAAATTTTGGAAAAAGTATCAGGGGAAATGACTGTGTCCATTGGTGTACTAAGGTTAGTAAAAGAAAAAGTTTTATTAAATCCATAGGCATGAAGTATCTATTTCCGAAATGCTTTTCATAAACTCATATTTTTTTTTATCTGCACTAAATAAAAAATATTTATCTGAACAGAATACCAACCCCTCTCTCACTTGATGGGTGGGAGTGATGTCTGAGGGTAAGGCAATCCTCTTATTATCATCATCATTATGTTATCTAATCAAAATGGAAGCAAATTGACTAACTGCTGAAATTATATTATACAAAATATAGAGTTTATTCTGGGATCACTTAAAGAAGCTGAAATTACCAACAAGTGTCAAGATTCTTTCTCTCTA